TGGGGGGCAGAACACAGAATAAGGAAGAGGATGTGAAGATCTATAGCTTAGGACTGACTAGTGTGTGTGTGAGGGAATCACCAGGCCAAGAAAGGAGCCAACAAACAGGATTAGAGGCAAGACTCCTCAGAGTTCAAGCAGGGCCAGGAGCAGTGTCTCTGACAACCAGCCAGAGTGCAAAGCCACCCCCGGGGCACCGATTACACATGTATCAGCTGCTGGAGGTTGCCCCACAACATGATGCTCTGTTTGTTTTTTCTCTTTCATTTTGTTTCGCTTTTCTGTTTCATTTATACTTTTTATTTATATGTCTTCAATTTCACTAACCTTCTCTTCTTCAATGTCTAATGTACCATTAAACCCATCTAGTATATTTTTCATATCAGATATTTTAGTGCAATGTATAAGAGAACAAGTTGGTAAATTGTACTTTATCAAACTTAAGAACTTTTGTCCTTCGAAAGACATTGATAAGAGAACAAGACGAACCACAGGGAGAAAATATCTATATATCACATATCTGGAATATGTATACATAAACTTAATAACAACACAATGATAAATGCACAAATGATTTGGACATCTCAGCAAAGAAGACGCAGTGACAGCAAATAAGCACGAAATTATGCTCCATTTCATTAGTCACTAGGTAAATACACATTACAAACACACTGAGATACCATGAGGCACCTCGTCTAAAAATGTCTAAAACTGAAAAGACTAATCACATCAAATGCTGGCAAGGATGTGGAGAACCTGGAACACTGCTCATGGGAATGTAAAATAGTGCATCCACGGGACTTCCTTGGCAGTAAGACTCCATGCTTCCAATGCAAGGGGCGCAGGTTCGATCCCTGGTCGGGGAACTAAGATCCCACGTGTGGCGTGGCATGGCCAAGAAAATATGAAGGAAAAAAAAATAGTACATCGCTTTGTAAACAATTTAGCAGCAGTTTCTTAAAAAGATAAACGTACATCTAAACATATGACCCAATCATCCTACACCCAAGCGTTAAGCCAAGAGAAATGAAAGAATACGTCCATACAAAGACTCATTCATGGGGACTTCCCTGGTGGCGCAGTGGTTAAGAATCCCCCTGCCAATGCAGGGGACACGGGTTCAAGCCCTGGTCCGGGAAGATCTCACATGCTGTGAAGCAACTAAGCGCGTACGCCACAGCTACTGAGCCTGCACTCTAGAGCCCGAGAGCCACAAGTACTGAGCCCGTGAGCCACAACTACTGAAGCCTGCATGCCTAGAGCCTGTGCTCCGCAAAAAAAGAAGCCACCGCAACGAGAAGGCTGCGCACAACGTAAAGTAGCCCCCACTCACCACAACTAGGGAAAGCCCACGCACAGCAAAGAAGACCCAACGCAGCCAAAAAAAAAAAAAAAAGACTCATTCATGCATGTTCACAGAAGCCTTATTTGTTAATAGCTAGAAGCTGGAAACAACCCAAATGTCTATCAACAGGTTAATGGATAAACAAAATGGGGTATATCCATATAATGGCATACTTCTCAGCAACAGAAATGAACTATTTATACATGCAACATTATGGGTGAATCTCAAAATGGTTATGCTGACAGAAACCAGACCCCCCCGACCCCCCCCGCAAAAAGTACTCTATGATTCCATTTATATAAAATTCTGAAAATTACAAAGGAATCTATACAGCAGGAAGCAGCTCAGTGGTCACCCGGTGAGATGGGGGGGTCAGGTGGGGGGAGTGCAGGAAGGAATTACAAAGGGGTATGAAGAAACTTTTGAAGGTGATAAATACTATCTTGTTGCTATTTTTTAAAATAAATTTAATTAATTAATTTATTTATTGGCTGCGTTGGGTCTTTGTTGCTGCGCGCGGGCTTTCTCTAGCTGCGGGGAGCGGGGGCTACTCTTCGTTGTGGTGCGCAGGCTTCTCATTGCGGTGGCTTCTCCTGTTGTGGAGCACGGGCTTTAGGCACCTGGGCTTCAGTAGTTATAGCGCGTGAGCTCAGTATAAGGAACGGCACCAAGAAACGGAAGAGAGCTTAAGCGAGCTTTATTAGGGAGCGCGCCCGGGCGAGGTTCGCTGGTCGGACAGAAAGGGTCCAGAGAAGTCGCGCCCGGGCGAGGGATTGGACAGAATTTATAGGGGAAAAAGGGAAAGGGGTGTGGTGAATCCGGGAGGGCGCAGGGTATTCCTTATTTGGTGGTCTCTTCGGGTATCGTGGGAATATCCGGTGCTGGTTGCATCAGTCTTGGGATAGTTAGTCCCGCCCCTCGAAAGGCGGGAAGGCTGGGCCGGGTGGAAAGTCCCCAGGTCAGTTCCCAGAACTGGGTGGTCCGGAAAGTCTCCAGGTCAGTTTCTGGAACTGGGTGGTCGGAAAGTTTCGGTCTGATGCATCCTGTGAGTCCGATTGCGTTCCCCTGCCTTGGGCCAGTTGGCCTTACAAGTAGCTGTGGCTCGCAGGCTCAGTAGTTGTAGCACATGGGCTTATTTGCTCTGAGGCATGAGGGATCTTCCCGGACCAGGGCTCGAACCCGTGTCCCCTGCACTGGCAGGCAGATTCTCAACCACTGCGCCACCGGGGAAGTTCCCAAGACTAGTTATATTTCAGCCTGGGGTTCCCACATCATGATGAAAGTAAAGTTCATCAGATGCTGGTAGCATAAGCACAGACAGTGCACAGAGGGCTCTGACACCCACCTGAGCACCTTCTCCTTCATGTACCTGCCCGACTAGTACTCAGTGAGTGCCTCTAGAGGAACATTTCTAAATGCACCGCACATAAGGCAACATAGCTATCTGGGCTGGAAGTGGAGGCCCTAGCCCTTTGGAGCTCAGAGTCTATGAATGCAGTGGGGCAGAGATGCACAGAATGCTAACAGTGTTCAGAACCATAAGAGTAAGTTGAGGGTGGTACTGGGAGCAGAGAAAGGCCAGCAGGAGAAGAGGAGGACGCAGGTAAGCTTTCTTGAGGCTGGTGACATCTATCTGAATCTCAGTGCCTGGACTACGACTTGAGGTATGGGGGTGGCGTACGCAGAGGTAAGAAAGGCATGGGACAGTTTCCAGCTGGTGCTCCCTTAAGTTCTAAACAAGAAGCAGGGAGAGGTGAGGTAGGAGAGCTCGGTATTGCACCGGTACCGTCAGACCATAATGTCTTTGAATTCAGGAGCACACTGGGGAAGCCATGGAGGGGGCCTTCCTTTCAAAATGTAAACAGCGCTATTATTTGTGGTGGGGGTAAGAGAAAATACATGTTCATCATAAAATACAAAGTTAAGGAATTCAAAAAAGTATAACGGGCATTCAAAGCACTGTTAACCCTACCACCCATAAATGCCCTCTTTCCGGGGCTTCCCTGGTGGCACAGTGGTTGAGGGTCTGCCTGCCAATGCAGGGGACACAGGTTCGAGCCCTGGTCCGGGAAGATCCCACATGCCGCGGAGGAACGAAGCCCGTGCGCCACAACTACTGAGCCTGTGCTCTAGAGCCCGTGCTCCACAACAAGAGAAGCCACCGCAATGAAAAGTAGCCCCCGCTCGCCAAAACTGGAGAAAGCCCGCAGTCCGTGTGCAGCAACGAAGACCCACACAGCCAAAAATAAATAAATAAAATTAATTAATTAAAATAAATAAAAATAAATGCCGTCTTTCCCACTGCCAAATTTCAGTGTATGTCTTCCTGGATTTATGTTCTGCATATATTCAAATACATACAGAGCAGGGTGCGGGGATGGGGGAAGATGCCCTCATTCTTCCTCATTCATCCCTCAAACCCCAGGTCCTTCCAAGTAAATGCTTCCTTGTTGCAGTCACGCACTGTCCCTCCCATACACCGTTGCCGAGGGTCCTTAAATATTCTGAGCGTCTGGTTCTCAGCTTTTTTCTCTGTGAAAACATCAGGAGTAATGGTAGGACATCAGTGAGGGTGGCCCCTCATTGCCCTGGCTTCTGAGTTTCTCCCTCTCCAACAGGAAGACTGTCTTCTGCCCTTGCCTGTGGTCACGCCTAGCCTATAGGTATTCAAAAAGCGGCCCCCTCCACACCCTGTTTCAAGTATCCTGCTCTACCACCGTTTGGCTCTGGTGACATTTCTTCCACTGGGATCTCCAATCCAGAGCACAGAGTACCTTTCCACTGCCGCCACCCCTTCATGTCCCTTCAAGTCTCATCATTTCTGGATCCACGGCGGAGAATCGCCATTCCCTTGCCCCCTCCCTTTGCTGCGCTCCCAGATCAAAACATCAGCTCATTGGCCACTCCAAGCGGCCGGACGTGGCTGGAGAACAACAAAACCGGGTTGATTAGTTTCACTGTCATATCATGACCCCAAACCTCACGCCCGCAGCGCCTCCAAACCAACCCAAGTATCTAAATCAATTTGCTCTCCCAACCCGAGAGGTTTCCTCACACCTCCTTACGCCTCCTCTCTAATCATCTCTTCAAATACTTTGACAACTTCACTTAAATGTCAAACTTCCCAGGGCTTTCAGAGGACAGCCACGCGCTGGCGTCTGCGCGAGCTTGGGGACGGGAGGCCGGTAAGAGGCCGTGGCAGTCGTTCCAGGAGGGGCGCGGGGGCTCGGCCTAGAGCGGTGGAGGCGCGCAAGGAGCGACACGGAGGATCTCGGGAACTGGCTGAGGGCGAGCGGAGAGCGGGCGAGGGAGGATCGCCGGCTCGGGCGGCAGGTGCGAAAGCAATCGGGGTGGACTGAGCGCGCCGATCGGTACCTGGAGACGCCGGGCACGACCAGTCACCTCCAACGCCCGCCCCAGAGGCCGCGGCGCCTCTCGCGTCACTCCAGACGACGGCGACGGCGCGCGTGACGTCACAGGAGCCGGCGCGACGCTTTGCGCGTCACTAGCGGCGACGGCGGCGGGGGCTTGTGACGTCAGGACGCCAACGCAGGGCGCCAGGAGGCTTCCGTGCCAAGCGCCGGCCTCGGCGCTCGCGCCCGAAGCAGCGGCGCGCTCGCTGGCCGGTCTGGCGCCCGGGGAGCTGGGCCTCCCACCGTCCGCGGTCCAGCTCTCTGGGCCGGCGCTGGGAAGCCGCTGGGACGCCGTACACACGCCAGCGCCGCGCGTCCTGACGCGCTACGTCGCCGGCGCCGCCGCTTCGCGTAATGACTTCCGGGCGCCGGGGCCGCCATCTTGCTCGCGCGGAAGCGGCGCGGCTGGGTGGGAGTCCCGAAGCGGGAGTCGCGGACCGTGCGGCCACCGCCATGCCGTCATCGCCGCTGCGGGTGGCGGTGGTGTGCTCGAGCAACCAGAACCGGAGCATGGAGGCGCACAACATCCTCAGGTAGTTGGGGCCTCCGCCCTGGCCCAGCGCGCCCCGCGGACGCCGGCCGACCGGCCGTCCCTCCGGCCGACCGGCCCGTGCTGGGCGGTTCCGGCTCCCGGCCCGTGCTGTGTGGCGGCGGCCGCGGTTCCCGGCCCCGGTTCTCCCTGACCCGTGCTGGGCGGCCCAGGTTCCCAGGCGGGCGGTGCGCGGCGGCCCCCGAAGGACGGCCGAGAGGCCTCGCCGCCTCCAGGCTCGTTGGCTACAGGGCCGAGCGCAGCGAGGAATCGACAAAACTCGGTCCGCCGCGCGGTCCCCCACGTGTGCTTAGCGTCGCGAAAAATTCACATTCTGAGCCGAAATGTTTCCGGGTCGCTGAAACCTCAAAGCTGCTAGTAAACCTGAGAGGCTGATGCTGTTCGCGTCCACTTCGTATGCACGTCTGTGTATTTGAAAATCATGGCCTCTGTAAAATGCTCAGCAGTGAGGCGGTAAGTTGCAAGACGAAGGTTAGGGTCCACAAGAGGATAGGCCGGTTGTGTCCAGGGCGTGTCGCCTTTTTATCAAATATGGAAAACTTGCGCGACAGGATCTCAGGATAGAACGAGTCGTAAAAACACGGAAATGGCCTATTTTAATTTCATGCATTTGTGTATTTGCTTCCATCTACATTTTTCAAGTCTCATGCAAAAAAATCCTTTCTCCTCCCTTAGAAAATCTCCAGTCGATAATTTCTGAACCACACGTGAGTTTGGTTTCACGTTTCAGTGCTAACTCCCCTTTTGTGACGCCGGTGTTGTATATGTTTAATAAAATTTTATTCCCGTTTGATAAATTTTTTTTCGTTCAGAATCACTTTACAGAGTGTGAAATTGACCCCTTGCATTACAATTAAAGTTTGGTATACATTGTCAACTTTGATAGTAAAAGTTGAAACTGCCTTTTCTGAAGTTTCCTTATGTAGACATTACTGGACAACCATGCCTCGCTGCTTCTCCTACTATGGCAGTCAGCTTTGACTCTCCTGGGGAAATCAGAATTCTCCCTCGCCCCTCGTTTTTAATGAAGCTGGACGCACCAGGTGTCCACGATCTGCTAGTTATGAGTTTAATTCTTCCTAACATCTACCACACTGTCTGCAGTATTCAGTTAATATTGTTTTTTGGTCTAGTGTGATATGCTTGGAACCTAACAAACCAATGTGGAGTTCGTTTCTAAACTACAATTTTTTAAACTGCAAAGTTGTTTTAAAATTGGAAAAGTGCAAGAATTACAGTGTGCTGGATCTGATCCCCAAACTGCATTTATCTGTTCAGAGTCACTAAAAGTGGTAACTTTAAGATTGTAAGGTTCACGCTCCAGGAAAATTATTCAAGGAAAATAAAATTTAATGTCTTTAATTAGAATAACAAGTGATCTGGAGACCACCTCATTCTGCTGGTTCTGGCTAGTGATCCTTTATTTAAGCTCTTCTCTATCTGCATAACAAAGTTGGGGTGAAATCTTACAAAAGGAAATGTTTTTAAATTTCCTGTAGCAACTTTGTTAGTAAATCAGTTCCAAAGTCTTGCCTATCTGATAGCCCTGAGACAGTCAGCAGCAAGATTTAAGCCCTTGCTTAGTTCAAAGTAACTGGCACAGCCTTGGGTCTCCTGCGGAAATGAGGGTGCAGAAGAGCCCCCAAATAATCACCAAGTAGGAATGCTTGTGTACTTTTACCCATTTTACTGTTTTTCAAATTTACTCATGAGAAGAGTAGATTCAGAATGAGGGCAAAAGGAGGTAAGTTTAGGGTAACATACATTATTTGTATCATGAATGTGAAGTTATTTTAGACGTGAATCTTTAATTTCTAAAATGCTTATATTTGGGGGGTGTTTTCCTTTGTTAACATGATAGTATTTGCTTGTTGCAAAAAATCCTCGCTGTAGAAAATATAGAAGATGAAGAAGATAAGGACCACGGTACCATTTTGGGGTGTACACCCTTCTTTCTGGATGTTCTTGCGGACATCCGGACGCACACTGAAGGGAGGCCAGAGCACTGTTAGGTAATCTCTCCACAGAATGTGAACATAGTTTGATTTCAATATTCATTTCTGCTTTTATTTTTATACATTGGATTTGAACATATCTATTCATGTTGAGTAATAGTGGTTACAAAACCATGAGCCAGTACTCAGAGCAATCCTGTGCAGCAGTCACTTTGGTAACCACTCCCCGTAACAGGTGGTTGGTTTTCAGTTTTATAATGTCCACATTCTTGTGCCATTTTAAGTATCTTTGTACACTTTTCTAGTTATTTCCTTGGCATAAATTGCTGAGTCAGAAAGTAGGCATATTTTACATTTTCATACATTCTGCCAAACTGCCTTCCAGAAAAGTACCTGTTTATAGAATTCCCATTTCCTCACAATATGGGCATTATTATATCTTTTCATGCTGCTGGGGCAAAAGTATCTCGCCCTTTAGTTTTAAAATTGCTATTGAGATTGAACAACTTTTTTTGTCGTTTTCACTTTTGAAAATTATTTATGGCTTTATCTCTTTTGATAACTTGCAGGGTTTAAAAGCATGTTTAAGAAATTTATATGATGTTTTTTGTTACAACTAGTAGAGCTTATAAAAGATTTAGAGACTTAGGCCTTGAAGATGATAGTGAAAAGCATTTAAAAATGGTACGATTAAATAAATAAATAAATAAATAAAAATTTTTAAATGGTACGATAGGGCTTCCCTGGTGGTGCAGTGGTTGAGAGTCCATCTGCTGATGCAGGGGACACGGGTTCATGCCCCAGTCCGGGAAGATCCCACATGCCGCAGAGCGGCTAGGCCTGTGAGCCATGGCCGCTGAGCCTGCGCGTTCAGAGCCTGTGCTCCGCTTCTGGAGAGACCACAACAGTGAGAGGCCCGCATACCGCAAAAAAAAAAAAAAAAAAAAAA